AAAAAAAACCACTCAAAAGTATTTTATGCAAAATTAAATAAGAATTATACATGGAATTCCAGATTTTTTAAAGTTAGTAAAATTATGCAAAATTTAATCTTAGATTAACGTCTGTTTCATGGAAAACTTTTGGCATTCTAACAAAGACTGAATGAAGTCCCTCTTCTTCAAACAATAAAATATTCAAAATAATTTTTCACTTTGAATAAATGAGAGATTTGAATAATGTGATAGTCAGAATTGAACTGCATAGTTTTATGATTTTTCTATAAAACCAATATCAATGAAAAAAGAATTTTGGTTAATTTTAAGTTTCAAACTGGTATGTTTATTTTGAGTTTGAATAAAGAAAAATTAAATCCACATACCTGTATTTCAGGCAGTCGGTTAAGAGTTACATAAACAGCAGGTTCCCGACTTTCTTGCGTATCACAATCATTCACTTTTACACTGACATTTTTATTTTCATCAATCGCACATTCCTTTTCTCTTTCTTTACTATTTTTCTCTTTACTTTCATCAATCATATTTTCTATCTTATTGCTGTCATCAGATGTAAAGTTACTTTTAACAGAAATTTCTTCATTTTCAGACAGAATGTTATTAACACATTCATCTGAATCTACAGCCTGCATTTTCTCCTCTAATTTATCAGGTGAATTTCCATCATCAGTACTATCTGATTCAGAACCTGAATCAGAACTTTCAACATTAAAATCTACAAAATTTAGGTCTAGTTTAAGTTTTTTGGGTGGATTTTCACAGTTTTTTCTGCTACCTTTAATATTGCTTATTTTTTTAAGATTGCTTGTAGAGGGCTTTAATATTATTCCTTCAGAAAACCTGAAATGAAAAATTAAGAAAGCATGTTAGAAAAACAATTAGCATTATAAGTTATTAATCATGACAATTACAATAGCTCTTTGTAAAGAAAACCACTCCCAGTATCCTTTAATTCTAAATTTAAAAGTAATCTTACCAACAACAAATTAATGAAAAGATGACTGTCCTATAATCTCAAAATAAAGGAAACGGAGAAAAACACAATACATCAATTAAACAGATGTATAAGTAAAGTTAAATGTAAGGAGAAAAGTAGCAGTAAAAAATGTTTTAACCAAATTTAATTTATAATGTAAGAATTCTTCATATAGTTATTTCTTAAAGAAGAAAAGTACATTAACATTTTACACTTTTAGTACAACTAATAACAATGACACAGATTTATATCAAAATTCACATTATATAAAAAAATGTTGTAAAAATTCTTTACCTTTTCACTCCAAGTGTCTGCATATCTGCTGTAGATGTCAGATGTTCTAAATCTTCTGGCACGGCTTGCACTTTACTTAATTTTTCAAGAAGTTCAGCTCTCTAGAATTTTAAAATAATAATAATAATAATACATAAATAAAATCAAAAAAGCTTTTAGATATTTGTACAGCTGTTAAAAATCTGCTTCCTGAAAAAAAGCTGATTTGAAAACAATTGTTTCAGTAACAACTGATGGCGCTCCAAGTATGGTGAGAGGAAAAAAGAAATTGCTCCATTAGTTTATTTCAAACATATGTAGGACATTTGATTCTTGAATTTCTGCAAAATGAGGGAAAAATTAATCAATACCCACAGATGTTTGATGTTATATGGCTTTCAAAATTGGTGTATTTTACAGACATATGCCAACATTTCAATGAATTGAACAAAAGCTTTAAGGCACAAGTAAAACAATTATCGTCATGTTGGATCTCATTCAAGTTTTTGATGCTAAATTGCATGTTTTCAGAAACAATATTATTACAAGAAACTACAAATATTTCCCAAACTTGAAAAAAAATATATCAAAGATTTATATGTACATGAGAAACTAGACGAAGAAAAAGTTACTGAAGAATTCATTTCTATAACTCATTTTTCAATCAAGGAGTTTTCAGCGATGTTTTCTCAGTTCAAAGAATTATCGGAAATGCTCAAGTTTATTATGTACCTTGGTGTGAGTTCATTTGATAAACTGAATTTGTCCCAATTCAATTGGTTGGAAATTGAGGAATTTGAAATGCAGCTGATTGATTTCCAGTCTAGTTCAATATGGATTCAAAAATTTATTGAACCAAAGAAAAAATTGGAATTGATTGAAACAGAAAGATTAACAAGCAATGCAAGGAAAAGTGGCAGTTAACGAAATTTTGGCAACTTGGAATTCGATTCCAGATACATTCAACTGTTTAAAGAAGCTGACTTATACTATTTTAACCATATTTTCATCTACTTATTCTTATGAATCATTATTTTCAGAGATGAATAACATTAAAAACTCGCTTAGAAACTGTTTGGCACATGATTCCAGTTCAGCATGCATTCTACTAAAAGTAACATCTTACAACCCTAATATAAGTTATTTGTTATTTAATCTGCAACAACACTAATGTTAACTTACTTGAATTACACATACATTTGCTGCTTTTTTTTTTTTTTTTTTTTTTTGTTTTGTTAGCAAATTAAGAGTTTTGAGTTGCTAGTACTTAGCTTTATTATTTTCCCAATAATCATTAAGTCAAAATTATTTAACAAGCATGTCTATGGCTCATTAAACATTTCTTCAGAAAAAATGACACGTTGATCCATAAAGGTTCGCAACCCCCGATAGGGGGATATAATCATTATGGAAGAAACTGCAATTATTTAACCTTTTTTAATACTGCAGAAAGGGGTCATAAGTTGATTACTGCAAACTATTTGCAGTAGTCACATTATGAAAAAAAGTATGCTGTATAACAGATGGCCATAACTGGTAAACAAGGCTATTAACTCACACAACTAAAAAATACATTATATTATATATACAATTAGTGTATAATATATATTTAAATATACATTTTGAAAATTACTAGAGTAATTGTTATTAAAATAGTGTAACACATGCTTAAGATTTAATACCTTCCAAATTTAGAAATTAAAAATGGTAACATTTTCTTAAAAAAAAAAAAAAAAAAAAAAAAAAAAAAAAAAAAAAAAAACTTTTCTTGAAATGTCACAAAACATTTGATTTTCAAAAACAGATTTTAAAATATTATTTCTTTTTTAAACTACGTATAATGATATTAAATTGTAAAACAATTTTAAAATTTTATGAAATGTAAAATTTTGCTTAAATTATATAAGATCAGACTATATCATTTACAGCGTTTCTCACACAAATAAGCAATACATTTTTAAAATGTCAAAGATAAATAACTAATCTTATGCATATTCAGTGGGCAACAACATGCTCTCATATTTCTGGTCATTCTTTGTTATGGTCACTGATATTATAGCTAAGTTAAAATGTTAGTACATCTTTGAAGCATTATTAACTATGGATATTAAGTTGGTTCAAGATGTTGTGCTCATATGTTACTGAAAATGCCACTGCTACAAGAAAGGTTTGAATTGTTAAACCATGATAACCACTTGAGAAAAACTTAACACCGAGGTCCCTAGGTCAAAGACCTTACCCCCAATCGAATACTTAAGTAATTGTGAATCAATACTGCACAATAACTGAATTAGGTTATATAAACAATACCCAAGATAAAGTAATAAGAGTACTACACTTATATGTGCCCTGAGGTCACTAAACACAGTGATACGTCTTGTACACTGGCTTTGATATGATTGCATGCTCTGCGATGGTTTTGGGGGCGATGTTGGTTTCTATGGCAACTCTTTTTATATGGAAACTTGGATTTTACTGTAGTGGTTTCAGTTGCTAGTTCGTTATGATGCAATGAAAGACGCATTGGCAAAATTTTAGTCGTGTGCCTGGCAGCATGTTAAAGCTACGTTGCCTACTTATAATCGGAAATGCGATTGTCTTATTTGGTGGTTTAATATTTTTCCATTGTTGTTCTGAAATGGGAGAAGATGCTTTTAACAAATTTGTGGTGAAATTGCTTTGGTGATGTTTGAAATTGGTATTTCTGCTGTTTGAAGAAACATTCATTCATTGTAAGCACATTTTAATTTATTCTTGTTCTTATTTTGTAAAAGTTATGTTCATGTTTTTTCGTATAATTCTGTTGTTATTTGTTTTCTTTTGAATTTCGAAATTATTTAGTTTATTTTGTTTTATAATGCATAATGCCTATATTGTGAATTCATGATGTTTTTTTAAAGTTTAAACAGAATGCTGTGCAGAGGTAGCATGAAAGTTATTGTTATCTTCTTAATTTATTAAGCAGGGTTGCATAGTTCGTAGATTCTTTGCGTCTAATTGTGCAATTTGCAGATTTTTTTTCAAGTTAAACAGAATGCTGTGTACATGGTTTCTTGAGATTGATTGATGTTATGATAAATTTATTAAGTGTGAGTAGTCATAGACTCTTCGTCTAGATGATGCAATTCGCAGATTTGTTTTTAAAGTTTAAACAGAACGCTGTGTACAGGGCCGTGCGGAAGCAGACTTACGAGGTCTTCTTTGCAGGCAGGCACCGACCAGCCGACCGACACTGAGATATTCTTTTAATGTAAAAGAATTTGCACTTACCAGGGAAGAAAAATAAATGTACCTTAAATGCTACACAGGGATTATGGGCACTTGCGCCCTCCACCTTTCTTCTTCAGCTCATCCATCAATCGTTACATACAGTATCATACAAATAAGCAATACATTTTTAAAATGTCAAAGATAAATAACTAATCTTATGTATATTCAGTGGGCAACAACATGCTCTCATATCAAGTTCCAAAAGCTGTGGGAATTTACGGTGGGAGCATGTTTAAACTAGTAAATAACGCACATACACTGACTACACACGCAGAAGTTCTGCGCTACTTAAAATAATCCTTCTGCAGACCTAGTACCATATAATGGTCATTTTCCATGTGTCTAGAAAGCTACGTGTTATGTCTTTTACTTTGCTTAGTATAATTTCTATTTATCCTTATTTAATCGATTTTATTAAAAATGTATACAGTGAAATACAGCTTTTTTTCTTGACAATTTCTCTGAGGATGAGAAGGGGGTGGGGAACGGACTAGCCCTTTCTATGGGGGCAAATTTGTCATTTTGTCATACGTAAGAATGAACACAGGCGCCAATTTTTCATTTTCTTCGTGGGAGTTGGAGGGCGGTGGGTAAGATTTGCGTGGACGGAAATTCAAAGTTGTGTAGAAGATTTATTTTCTGTTTCGTGGGAGAGGAAGTTGCAGGGATTTATTGTCTGCATATATAGGTTATTTGCAGGGGTATATTAAGTCCAAATTCTTGATGTTTATACAATTTATTTAATGACTAGACTCCCCAATTAAGCATCTGTCTGTTCGTGCACGCAGTGTATCATTAGTCTGTTCGCGCACGTGTTTGTATAGAAAGGCAAAAGATATATAAAAAGTCACTTGAGCTTTACCTATTAGGCACGTAGGCAAAGGTGCCCCAGGTAAAGAACTGAGTTTTACATTCAGTTATTTTCATAAAACGCTGAGAATCTTTATTAGATTTTTAATATTAAATTGGCTTCTGAGGCTTCACCTCGTATTCCGCTGGGGAATGCTGCTTCAAATCCCCTGAGGACCTTGTCCTCCTCGTTAACAGTTGAAATTGCAAAATTAATTCCCTCAAGTAAAAACAGAATTGTCTACATTGGTCTTTTAACCTTGGGTTTACCCAACACAGTAGAATTCATACCAGTTGTAAACGTATATTTTTTGCATATTAACAAAACATTTTGCACTTTCCTCCTCTGAAATTTTCCGATTAAGGGCTTGGTATGCATTGTCCTCTTTCCCTCTCGATCTTTGGAGAAAATCTGAATCCGCCCAACTAGAAGGCATTTCAGATGTTGAATTTAATTTTTAGGGGTATTTTTAATGGCTATTTCTACAAAATGTATGAATAGCATTTACACTAAAAATTGAACTTCAAAATATCCCATGAAGGGGGGGGGAGGTTCTATCTGTTGCTAAGACTTTAGAGGTTGTATTCCTCCATGGGGGAAATCAAACCATCCATGACATCTGTTGATTCTATCTTGGTGAGAATTCAAGGGAAGTGGAACTTGATTGTGGACATTCCATTTTTAAATATTGTCTATGGATTGCATGTCCAAACATTGACAGTTTTGGCTGTAATGCCTTTAAAAATCTGATTTTTGTTAACAGGTGATACATCAAAACAAATAACAACAATACAATAAAACATTGGAAGCATTTACAAGATTGAGGTTAGTAATAAACAAAAATCAACTTTAGAAGTCCACAACAGTTCAGTTATAAAAGATAAGTATGGTGCGTCATCAAAAAGGAAGAATATATATATATATATATATATATATACATACAGGTGGATTAAAACTTCACGTAAAACTGTTGAATGTGATGGGCGATATTTGCAGGGGCAT